GGACCAGGCTGTACACAAGAAAGCGAATCTAAATGAAAAAGAGTCTCATTCATATCTTCCTGAAAGAGACCTATTTCCATAATACAGTAGCAAAGGGTTGTTATGCCCCTTTAATGGATGTTTCAGCCATTAAAAACCTCAAAGGATGTTAACTATTAAGAGAGTTTTAAGACATTAGACCATTGTAATAAGCTTAGTCACATAAGCACACACACACCCCTACATCTGGTCAAGCACCAAATCTTAGTAAAGAAGTAATGAAGTCTGCCTTTCTATCCTTTCAGTCCCTTCTGTGGTGGCTAAATTGAAAACATACTTGCATTTTTCAAATATAACTAGAGCGAGTTACATTATGTGTATTTGGGAAAGAACAAGCTGAAAAATACGCAGTATTTAAAGGATAAATTTCTAATAGAATGTATTTGGACAGGATAGTCCAAGAAAAGGTAATTCTTTGTCCCATATCTAGAAATGCAAGATACAGAGGTTTCCAAGTTGGTAATAACCTATGGACAGTTGCTCAAACTCAACAGCAGCTCCCCTGCTTTTTCTACCTGTAAGGTAACTGTTCCCAAATTCCTGACAGGAATTCTGTCTCGGACAAATCAGACATAAGGTGCTTTAAAATGAAGTCTGACACTTGTGGGGTGCATCTGGCTTTCTGCACATCACTATCAAAAACAGCACAGCTCATCAAGTTCAGAGAACTGCTACTAGCTAGTTTGAAAATTCCAATGAGACTGTGTGTGTGACACCAGAGCACCCAAACTGGTAGGATCCCAAATAACTAGAAAAGCTTAGCAAAACCATGCCAGTTTTAAAGCCTACTGAAGAAGAAAACACCATTGCATCCAGAAAAATTCACGTATATGGCAGCTCTAAATTAAATGTGCATACTGAATTATGTTTACCATACTATCAGCTGCCAGAAGGCATGTCTACCCCTTTAACCAAAGTCACAGTATTAAAATAATATGGCAGCATATAACTCACTACCCTACAGCATTCAGCACAGGTGCTACTCTGATTTATACCGTTCAGCATATCAGCAAAGCAGTCACAGAACCACAGAATGGCCAGGGCTGGAAAGGACTTCAAGGATTATGAAACTTAAACTCCTCTGCCACAGGCAGGGCCACCAACCTCCCCATTGTGTCACTGACCCACTAAGATGCTCAAGACACAGTAGGACAGGCTGAGGAGTGAAGCTTGCTCCCCCCCCCCCCCCCCCCTTTCAGAAAGATCACATATATCACAAACACAGGAAGATAGTGGCTTGAGAACAATTTAAACTTCTGATAAGGCTATCAGAAACCAAATTCCAGCAAAAGAACAACACCTAGCAAAGATTTCAAACAACAACAAAAAAAGAATGGTAGAAACTAAACATAGCTTCAATGAACTTAACTCAAGTACATACAGCATTTGTCTAGTTAAAAAGCTAAATGCAGCTTGGGCAGAAGTAAGCAAGTTCTCTAAAACTGAGGTTTATTTCTGTAGAAGCTTATATGCTTAATTCCAACTGGCGTGGACAGAAATTAATCTACAACCCCCTAGAAGTAAAAAAAAAAAAAAAAAAAAAAAAAAAACCACAATCTCTCCAGAAGATTTTTGATCCATTCTCAGATAGAAGCAGCTTTCTCAAGACTCTTACTATTCTTTTAAAAATAAAATAAATAATAATAAAGAATAGAAGTTACAAAGTCTGGTCTGCTTCACAAAACACCTTTGGCAACCCCATAAGGAAAGCAGAAATAACACATTCTACACAGCTAGGCTTGTAAACTGCCCTTTGCTACCTATACAAGAAGAACAAGAACTCCAAAGGCAGATACATAGCTAAATTCAGCGTTCTTTCTCCCTGCGTGCAGGTGGTATATGATCCTATTCCATTTTATTTCCAAAATGCTGACTGAAGAGTTAGTCAGCTGCCATAGCATCACAATACTAAGGATTGTACAACTCAGCATTGCTCCATTAATAGAAGGATTAATTAATTCTATTGAACTGACAACTTTCACTGGGAAGTGATGGAAATCTGCACTATCACTGACGAAACCTTCAGACTGCATCACACTTTATTTCTAAAATTTTTATTTCTGAAACAGTGTAAACTGTCTTTTAGTCACTGCTTGCGTCAACTATACAAATATTTGTTACTAGCATGATACCTGATTACCTGAATAAAGTTCCAAGATTTTAGGAAACCAGGAGAAAAAACTCCAGCAAGAGATGAGGAAATATTTTACTAAAATGTTGTTAAAACTTAGAAGTATACCCACACTATGGGAAATCCTCATTATCCTATCTACAAACCACAACTCCTAATTTATTTAGAGGACCCTACTCAACAACATCCAAATTAACAATCCTACCATCTACTTAAAAGCTTTCCTGATTTCAGTGACCTTGAAAGGAAGATTCAGCTGCTTAAATACAGGCATGCAGTATTATTTTCTGTTATCTACAGCTACACGCATAGTACATTACTACTTAGTACAGCATGCCCTGGAACACAGGGCAGAGTCCAGGAATATAATTGATCGTAATTATTCTCCTTTTTGGGGCATAATTTTAAGTTAGTTAAAGGACTCTTAGTCCTTTAGAAAGCTGCCATAACCGAATCCAGAATAACCACAATTCAGTTGAAATACTACAGAAAACACCTACCCCCTTAACAGATTTAACACATCTGATCTGAGGCTTTGACTTGAGAGGTGGCAGGAATTGAGCCACAGGCAAAACCTAAGAATAAGAGCTTTAGGGATTCTGTAGCTTGAATTCTTGTTCAGTAACAAATATATGGGTCCCCATATCCGTCAGCTGTTAAGGATGATGAAATATCTGCCACCCTGCCATTGCCAAGGAAATAGTAACTCAATTAGTTACAACACCATAGTACGAAAATAACTGTTGAAGCATTTTTAACTTCAGCTAGCATCTCTTTAATTGACAAAATAGACATCCATTTCAAAGAATTCACAAGTTTTCATTGTCCCACTTGCTAGATTTGTAGGATTCAGTATGTAGTCACTTTCTCATTATGACTTAAACATATAGCACACTTAATGAATGGCTGTTTGTGTTTAAACTGTAATAGAATATTTCTTTCCTGGTGCTCCCACTCATAACACTCATCATATGTAACAATTTCCTTTTGAAAGACAGCACACCACAGTCACCAACTACCTTCTCACATCCAGCTCTGTTGTAAGCCTGACAACTGGGGTCCAGAGGAAGAAGCAAACCATTAGGCCAGTCAGCTCTTCTACACAGTTTCTATAGCTGTAAGCTAGGAAATTCCACTTACAGATATCCCACCTAAGCCTTTTGAAATCTTTACCTATAAACTTTTAGATATTTTTTTTTGCCACCTTTCAGTACTAGTTTATCAGATGATAGCATAAGAATGACAGCTGCACCACTAGTTTCAGCCTACTCACATGTAAATATCCTGAGCCACTTACAACATTATAACCACACTACTGAAAAATCATTATTTTCAATTACTGACACCATGAAAAATAGTAACCACATTTCCAAGTCCAGTTCTATACTTAGCTAACTAATAATACTTTGAAGAAAACAGGTGGAGACTTCCTGGACAAACAGTCCCAGAGGTGTGTTAAACATCTATTGAGTAGATACCAACACATTGCAAGAAGCTGGGATGGTTGCTAAATGGCACACTATCTTCTTCTACTGTTCATAACAGAACTTGAACAGTCCTAGACTTTGCTAAGTAACCACCCCCATAATGAAAAGCTTCTGTCCTCAATTCACAGCATAATCAAAATGAAATAGATTGTTTCAGTGCTGTTCTGAACAGGCGGTCATTGCTATTATACCCAATAGACAACCTGCTTGCACATATGGAGAAAGACTATTCGTAGATGAACTACTCAAGCCTCAACATTAGTAAGAGAATATATGCACTCTTTGCTTTCCATTTTCTCCACACACATTTGACCTATTCACTCTGACAACATCCGGTAAGGTTCCCAGTTTTTTCCAAGGGTTTAGTATTCTAGTCTCCATCTTTCCATTCTCTTCAGTTACTTGTATAACTTAAATTTATAGCTTTATACTGTGAGAAAAACCTTAGCCTTGGAGTTACAAGAAGTTACCTAACATATTTCCAGGCAACAGGATATGTCAGCAGGAATTGCTGAATGAGCATTATGAATAATATGTGATGAGCACTGGAAACAGGGACATTGTGTGGATTCCTCTGCCTCCCCAAAATTACTTTTAATGACAAAATCAGTTTTTGAAAATGAACAGCTAAGAATTCAGTAGTCACACTGCCAAAGCATCACAAACTCTCCTGCATATGGTATTACTGCAGCCTTGGAAACAGCCAACCCATAGTTGAGAGTGGCTTCCCAACTGACCCTGTGTAGAAGAATAAATTGTTGTTCTTGTTTGAAACTGCTTCCGGCACTATTAATTTTCAAATTTAAAAAACAATGTTACATGAGGCTGTTGATTTTTCACATCTTTCCACAGAAATTAGTCTCTCACATAAAACTCCATAGAAGAGATTTCAACATTTCACAGGTAACACCTCCCCAAAACCATGTTCCTCACTTAAATAATCCAAACAGGCATAAATTTTACTTGGAGAGGAATACTGGGAAAACATGCATGCTCTTCTTCCTTCACCATGTGTGTAAGCATGAACACAATCCTCCCAAACTACTTCAGTGACAGTATAGAAATAGAGGAAGTGACCCTTGTTTTCATAATATCACAGTCAAGTCAGCCACGATTCAAAGAGCTTACTGAAACCGAAGAGTGAAGAGATGTTTTAAATTTAGTTTCACCAAGTTATGTCTCAACACATTCAGACATTATCAACCACAATAGGACAGTATTGACTCTGTCTGCTAGATTTTCATTTTACCAAGCTATTTCAGACTTTCAGCTACAATGATCTAGAACCACCTCTACCACTACACAGTGCTCCAAGATCTACTATAACTAACTTCAGTGTGTACCTCTAGGCTGGATGCAGCTCCACAGGCAGGTAGATGCTGGGAAGAGAAATCCATTTGCAATCACTCATAGCCAAAGTCACCATCACAACGCTGCAACACTTTCGTATTCAACTAGAGTCAGGCTGAAACATGATCTTCCTTAACCTGGGGGGATTAAAAAGAGAAGCCTTTTAGAAAAACATTGATACAGGGGCACATTTCAAGATAGTGTTACTGAGTAGCTGACAGGGGGTCACAGAAAGGCGACATGCAGATCAAAGAACTGTAGCATACTTGCAAGACAGACAAAAACAAATCAAAACAAGGCAGTCTTCTGGCATCAGTGAAGCTACTTGTCAATATCACAGGGACACAGATAGAAGCTTCTCCCAGCTGAAATGTGCAGTATGTAGGTAACTGAGGACAGACAGATGTAATTGAAGATCAGCTGCTACACCTGTTCTCTAATGAACACAAGTGACAGAGGCAGTCTAAATTCTAGGAAACATTTTGAGTGCCTTTTGAGATAAGGTTAACCTGCACATTGCAGGGAGGCATTTTGCAGCACTGCACTCAATCACAACATAGAACACAGGCCACAGCATTTCATCCTAGCATTTTAACAAAAGTACTTCATAACATTTCTACACTGTAATTCAGGTGAAATGGTACAGTAACAGACAGGAAAAATTCCACTCAAAGAACATGATATAATACTGACTCGCACTTGTGCAAGAATTCACAAAATTTATTAGTGTGGCAGGAACATAAAAAGCTTTGTATCCTTCCTACGCAGTATTTGTCAATATAGTAAATTAAGATGTACAAAGAAAACCGTAATTTTAAGAAATGGTGATTTATAATGTCCCTGTAATTACATAGCAGAATTATCTTGTCATTTGCTCTAGACTACATAACTGTGCCTTTCCGAGCCAGAGAAGAAATATTCTGTCAATTTTCTTCTGTTTCTTTAGGTTGGTGAGTTTTGTTTTTTGTTGTGGTGTTGTTTCTTTTTTTTACATCTAAATAGGGATCTCTTCAGTTTCCTGTGCATAAAAAAGTTATCCTTCAAAATAAATACTTTACTATTAACACAAATATTAATGTAAACTACTAAGACTGAATCTTTTCTTTCTTTGTGTCCCACTTAACAAGGCTCCCTAAAGCCTTTATTATCATCTCACAGCCAGACTGACCAAAATAGCCCAGGAAGGAGGCTGAACATGCCCTCAAAGTTCGAGGGCTAGAGAGCTCATAGATGGAAAGTCCTTGGAAGGAAGAAGGCACACGAGTGACTCTGCAGAACTCCACCTGCCTCAGGCTGCTCATCAGCTTGCTGCAGAGAGCCTCACTGTGAGCCTGGACTTCACACACACACACACAAAAAAAAAAAAAAAAAAAAAAAACCACACATAGCTCACAGAACAGAGACCAGTTCATTTATGAAAATGCTCCAGGCAGAGGGACATGCTGCTCTTTGAGAGGCAAAGTATGTAGCTCTGCAGCACTAGAAGCAGCTGGCCCCAGTGAGTTTCTGTATTCTGGGAGTCTGAGACATGGCATTGCTTAGAGCACCATGATACCTCCACAGTTCACAAATGCTTGCTGCCACAGCTGTCCTAGATTCTCAGCAGGCAGCCAGACTGAGTTACCATTGTATAATTGGTTTTCAAAGGCCAAATACACATGCATCTTTTCACACACATCAACACACCAAGTACAGGCATATTCCCAAATGCTGTAACTAGATGTAAATTCCCATATTTCTGATTTTCAGTATTTTAACTGGTGCTGATTTCACTCAAACATTTTCATGTTTATCGCAAAGTTTTCTCAAGTTGCAATAAAGATAAAGACTGTAAGTAGAATATTTGTTCAGGTGCATATTTATGAATTGGTAGTGCAAAGATGTGGACGTTTTCTGTGAAATAGCACAAATGTTTTAGCCAAGTGCCACAGAAATCTGGCTTCCCAAAGAAGGCATTAAAAACGCATTAGGAGATAGTTACTAATTATTCCATATCATCCTTGATACCTCTTTAACCATTTCTAAGATTCCAATGGATACATTAAAAATAAAGCTTCATTAACATAAAGCACTATGCAAATAAGCTGTTAACCAACCATTTTATTAAATTATGTGGAAAAATACCCATTAAGTCACTAGATTACATCAGATATCTTTGCAAGTTTAATAAAATTGTGACTGTGTAAGTAAATGAAGTATAAAAAGCTAAAGACAAAAGTTGAATAAATTCAGAAATGGATCAGTTTTTCCACACAGAAAACAATTCACATACCAAATATGAAGATATCGTTTACATCAAGAAATAAAGTTCATGGTATGCTGTAATGCTCTAATGGAACGGAAAGTACCATGATAATAGCAGGTTGGCAAAGTTTCCGGCTGCAGCAGGTGAGAACGAGCCCAGATGCAGCAGCTGCAGAAATGAAGGAAAAGAGCTGCTTACCTTTGGAAAGCCTCAGATAGACAGCGAGCTCTGGTAAGAAATGCCCTTGCCTCCACTGCCAGCCCTTAAATGAGGTCTGGGAAGGGGTGGATCCCTACTCCACCCTTTCCATCACTCAGGGGCATTGCATGCACCTGAGCTCCTTTGGGTTGGCCCTGCCTTCCCACCAGGTGCTTAATCAGTGTTTCAGGCCATGACTTAGCAGTTCCACTACATATACACTGCAATATTGTTCTTATGCTTTCACAAATTTCTGCTAAGATTTTCATTACTCAACTTCAGAAAGCATTGAATGTATGTATGTATGTATACATGCACCACAACTCCAGGAATCACTAAAACCAGCTCCTTTGCTCATAACAAAGGAATTTTTGGTTGCTAATTTTGATAAGATGTCTCACCATGTGCTTACAAGAGCCATAAGCTCCCTGTACCTTACCTACCTAGTTCTCATTAAAGGCCAGAACTATCTTTCCCCAAGCTCCCAAACCCATGCTGGTATTCAGCAGCTGCTTAGATACTCACAGATTTTCTTCTTATGACACAAACAGGCAGCATGAGATCAAGACATAGTACGCATGATATGAGTCTCTCAGAATAACAGACAACACCTATACCCACAGCTGCCAGGGCTAAAAACCCATAAATGACAGTCACTTTTCTAACTGTGCTGGATCACAGCATCACGAGTCGTCTTTGACTAAGAACCAGGAGATATATAGCAGAGAAATTTCACTGCTTAAACTCAAAGCTACAGCTAGCACAACACAAAGGAGAATACCTGGTGCCCACCACTAACAAGCCAGGCCACCCAGAGAAGCAGCAGGGTTCTCACACCACACTAATCACACAAGTCTGTAAGTCTGCACTGCTGCCCTGCAACAGGAAGAACAGGCATCATGGCCGTGGTAATCCCCCAAACTAAATACCTCATGGCAGCCTCAGATCAATGCAGTCCTGGGACAAGTTCTGCCACACATCTTGTAATAGATCTCCAGGGTGAGGCTGGCAGCAGGAACCACAGGTGCAGCCCCTGCGACATGAGGCCTGGGCTGCCATGTGCCTGCCACAGCTCATTCTGGAGGGTTCCAGATGGTTCCACAGAGACCCCACCACTGAGGGGCAGCTGAGCCTTGGTCTCAACATTAAGAAAAGACAAAAGGCAGCACATGTGAGGGGAGCCTGCAGCACATATCCAGTAAGGTTGGAGAACAAGGCATGAAGATGCTTCAGACTCTGGATCAGAAAGCCCCCACAGCTTGTGGAGAAGACTACAATGGGGGAAGCAACCACAGCATAGCCATGAGGACACCATGAGCGGGGGGAGGGCTTAAAGACAGTGGCCTGTGGGAAAGGCCCTCGCTCAAGCTGGGGAAATGCATGAGGATGAAGGTTTGGCAGAGAAGAGCTGTTACAGGCTGACCACAAGAACGCCACCCACATCATGCAGAAGTAGGGTTTTGTTCCTCAACACTCAGATATCTTAATAGACAATAAATTAGAAATATATATATTAATATATATTAATATTTCCCAAATTTTATCTTCCCCAAGATTGAAGGAAGTATTACTTTTCAGAAAGGGTGGTCAGGCACTGGAATGGATGCCCAGGGAGGTGGTGGAATCATCAACCCTGGGGGTGTTCAAGGAAAGACTGGATGTTGTGTTGAGGGACATGGTTTAGTAGGAGCTATTGGGAATAGGTGAACGGTTGGACTGGGTGATCTTTTAGGTCTTTTCCAACCTTGGTGATTCTATGATTCTATGGCTGGAGAACAATCTCCTCATCTTTATTCCACCCTACAGCATTTTCCCTGCTATTTGTTCACTTTGCTGCACGAGGAGGAGGAGTAAATGAGTATTGGGCTGGGCATTTTGCTGCATTCCAAGGTCAACTCACCACACATCTCCAGCAAAATGTCATTAATTTTAAACTTTAACCATCTCTGGTTTGCAGAATGAAGGGGACATGTGAACCAACCGCCAGGGCTCCTGCATAACATTGAGTTTGCCTTGCAAATCCATAAATATTTATCTGGACTTTGAAGTACATATTCAGAAGCCTCTGCATACAATTGCATTTACCTCTGCCAGTCTTGCTTCACATTTTAGATCTAAACACTGAAAACAGGACTAGCAAGGCAATCAATGCAGAGCTTGTGTTAGTGGAGTGACACAATATCACAGAACTTTATCAAAAGCCAGATGTGAAAATACATTACCTTGTAGGTGGCTTCTTCTACATGGGGTGGGGAGTCATAACATAATACCCAGTATCAGGAGGGATGAAAGTACTGTGGGATGTTACTTAAGAATACCAAGTATTCAGGAAAAGCCCCACTTTCTCTGGAAAAACAGGCTATTGCAGGGTTAGGTAGGGTTATTTCTGGCCAAATGTATTCATCTGACTTCACAAGCCACAAGAATTGGCAGAAAGCAAGCTATCAAGCTCCAGCATTTCTAAAAGCTCACATTTCTTTCCATCATACATGGTCAAGATGCAGAGCTGCACTCATAAATAACATTTCAGGATGTTAAGACATATTTCATGGAGGGCAGACCTGGTAGAGCAATATATCAAATTAGATTATTCAAGCCAACGAAGCAAGATTTTCAATAAAAATTAGAAGTTGAATTCAAGATGCATGTTTGTCTAACTACAAACATACCTAGAATCAGTGTCAGAACAGACCA